TCTTTACCCCGTTTCTGCAGAAAAAAAAAGTCTGCTAATTAATAATGATTAAGGCAAAAAGTTTAAACCGTACTTTTCCATTAATGGCTGTTTAATCAACGGCGAAAAGGAAGTGGAACTCCTTTCAGCATCATACTACATGATTTTAAGTTTGGTAATATCGTGAGGCAACGGACAACCAACCTCGCATCAGAGCCGTCAATTAAGCATGGATGAATGGAATTTCAGTACTGGAAGGAAATATTAATGAAGGCTAAAATGCCACTAAAGTAGTGAAAGTACTGTTATTAATGATGGCAGTAATAAGAGAACTAATAATAATAATAATAATAAAAATATTTATAGTAATAAAACAGCCATAGCAATGCTTTCAACGATTATGGAAATTATGACAATAATAAAAACGATAATAGTAACAGCAGTAAAAATAATAGTTGCCAATCACTAACGAATGCTAAAAATATTGGAGACAAACGCTGCCGAGAAGTTTACTCTAAAATGGCGCTAAAAAAAAAAAACAGATTTTCACAGCGGGCACAAAGATGCACCACGAAATATATAGTAAATACATTATTTGACCCGATAGGCACAAAATAGGATGCCAGATAGCCGCTTAAGTAGATAACCAGTTTAATCTGTGTCGCGGTTTTGCAAGACTGCATAACTATTGTGTTACAATTTACCTTGGTTGAACTCGACCGTCTTCGTCTGCCACACACAACCCACGAGTGGTATCCACATACGCGTGGAAACAAGCTGTGTTCCGTTTTACTCCGTTTATTTTCAATATCCCTTCGCGTCTCTCCGTCGTTGATGTTCATCCTTTCCTCGTGTTTTCCCTCGGCATCCACCATCACTGACAGGGCTATTGAGACTAAAGCCACCCAGGCGAGAGTAAACAAACACTTTCCTTTCATACTTGTTATGATTATCCTCCCAAAATTATACCATACAAATCAGGGGTTTCTTAATCAACAGAGATTACTGTAGAATCCTCGCGATGAGAATGAAGGTTTCTTTGAAAAAATTGTCTTTTTATCCTCCTTTTTCGTTGAGACAATTTTAGAGTACTCCTAGCGAAATTTATGTGGCTCACTGTGGGCGGCGTAAATCTTTTAGTCTCCAAAATACTTTGTTTAAATGATTTCAATTAAGATCTAAATCGTTAATTGACATAATAGAAACGCTTGCTTATCAGCAGTCCTACTGGGGAGCTCCAAGCTTTGCTTTTGGGTTATTCGCACTCTACAGTTCAGCAAATTATATAAGTCTTAAAATAATACTGGTCTTTGTTTCATAGGCAATGTTTTAGCCATACTTGGCCAGTTTACAATCAGTAAAGCCTGGCATAGTAAACCCACGGCTTCAAGCAGCTGTTTAGCAGTAAAAATTTCCATATAAATGTAAGACATAATTACTGGATGAACAAGTTTTATATGCAAGCTAAAATGAGCAACCTATTGTTGAACAATAAAATGCCAGGCGGTTATCGGAAAGTGCTCTTCCTTTATTTTTATTTTTCCTTAAACCTTTGTTTCTGTCTTCACTCTCAGTACCGCTACATTTAATCAACACCTTGCATGTAGTGTACTCTTTTGATTACTAAATGGGGGCGGATGAAAAAAACATTGTGAAAGCAACTTAAAATTTCATGTGACATATTTCTTCCTCCAAGTCTCATTGGTTGGACTTCCTTGTAATGACACAATAGGGATAAATCAGTTTGATATACATCAAACGCTTATTAGAACACACGCTGTTTTCCTTTCATCTGATTGCGGGAATGCACCATTAAATTCATGACAGGTCACGGAAGCTGATTTTACTCGAATTTCAACGGATGTAGATATTCATCTTTCTATACTTACGGAGTACAATGACATATGCATGAAAATCACTTGTGAAAGGTCGCTTTCATATCATGCAGTTGGAAAGGTGGACCAGCTTTGTTTACCCTACGAGAATTGAACTAACGGACGCCAACACACTGATATAAGCCGATAAAGGACCCCCTATTTCATGCTCTTATTTCCGTTTTAATGTTTAAACACAGAATTAATAACCATTACAAAGCAACGGATCTTGCCGGATGTTCTTTTCTTTCATATCTAACGCTATATCGAGGTCATCAGCACACCCCATTTTATTTCAATTCATGAGCGCAATCCTTGAATTATAAAAAGACCTATCTTCCTGCGTATTGTCTTTACAACTCTAAGCAAATGGAACAACGAGGCGGTCTTCCTTGCGGACATAAAGCTTTCATCATCAGCCTTGACGTGGGTGCTTCAAAACACCTCAAGGCATTCTTATTGGATCGTGTCTTGATCCTGCGAAAGGAGTTGGAAAAATACCAGAGTGTTGAAATCATTTAGCGACTGCTCTTTGCTCTTAGGAACTGCATTAGTGGTATTTATCCATTCTTTTTAAACAAAATTCGGTCTGCCTTTAGGTTTATCTTTAAATGAATCCACCAAACTAGAATCACCGCAATATTTGTCGTGAACAAAGCCACTTTTCATTTACTATTGTTCCGACCACCTTCGCAAAATCGCGGCAGGAGTTCTCAAAAATCTGCTGTATGAGTTCATTTTTTGCTTCAAAGTTACAGTAAGGGGCAGAAAACGGAGTTTGGAGATAAATCTAACTAAGACCTTTGTCTTGAGGCAAATTAATGGTCTTTGGCAGAGTTTTATGACTCTACGCTTACTTTTCATCTTGCGCATTTTTCTTTTGTTTGATTATTTGCTTTACGTAAAAAGGACTTCAATTGGTGTTATTTACTGAGTATTTTTCAGTCTTCTGACAAATTAAAATATAACTCCATTCAACCCCAGACGGCCAAAAATCAATTACTTTTTTGCCAAATTAATCTTCAATTTAGCATTTCTGTCCGCAGATATAAAATTTAGCGTCCCTATGACGCGCCTAACGTAAAGTACTTGCAAAAAGATGAAATCTCGTCTTCGTTCTAGTAAAAAAGTGAAGCAAGACTAAGACTCACTTTTCTGGTTTTGCTTTGCATCAGGTGTATCGTGTTGTAGTAGTATTCCGCTAATGCATTTGCTGAGTCAGATGTTTTGTTGTTTTTTTTAAGACTATCGATCACTAAACACCGACGCAGAACAGAGCCTTCCATCAGGACGCTATGAAGAATAAAGCGTTTTAACATTTATTCAGTTTAATTATGGGCGTCTGAAAGAAATTTTTCAAACGGTATATATATTTCACAGGTTGCTGACTCGTGGGATGTGAAAGCAATCATCGGTTGCTGGTATTATTTAGTCTAAATACCACAGGAAAACTCTTAACAATTCTGTTATTTCTGTAGGGTACTGGCTAAGGAATATGTTGCTGATTAATGGGTGGCATTTGACATGTCTTTTCAAGCGTTGGCCGTTCATGGCAAAATGTACGTTTATATGCCAAATTAATTTAGTTTTCAAAGAGGCTTTCACAGGTGGAGCCCATTTCCATCTATCTTCTCATCTCTCTGTTTATCTTTCTTCTCAACCTTATCTTTCTTCTTATCCTATGGATTCACTCTCCAAACGAAAGCTAAGAAAGAAAACCATATGTAGGAGGCGGCTCACATAATCTTTAGACTTACATAGTGGTAACCTATATTCCGTACATGCGCACTCGGGTGTATAAATTGAAGCGAATAAATGAAATCATTGAAAGATGACTCTTGCTTTGCGACACATGAACGTTAAGTGCTACTGTGGTTTGTTTGAATTTATATTTATTCACCGAAGTGGAGGTGAATAGTGGTGCGAAAACGAGCGAAAACGAGCATAGTGGAATTTTCATTTTTTTTTAGCTTTAAATGCCTTCTCATCCCGCCTGAAGTACGTATTTGAAAAAGATTAATTGATATTTCCCAGTCAATTCCTTTTATCGTCCCTTTAATTCTCATTCCAAGAATAAAGGCTGTTAGTTTCGAAAGAAACTGTTTGGGGCTGCGTCGGTGGGAGTAACGAAATAATTTGGATATATCAACAAAGTTGAAATGGTAAATTGGCCACCGTAACGATTACAAAAGCTGACGTTTCGAGCGTTAGCCCTTCGTCGGAACGAATAGAGGAATTGTGGGTTGTGTGTGCTTTTAAAGGCAGTTAAATGGAGCTATGTTATTGGTGGAAACATGGCAACGAGAAAAACATGAATAAATTAGTGGAATGAAAAGCGTTCGTTGATCCCTGTGGGATTTAGACAGCCGGTTTGAAAGATGAGCTTTTGTTCAAGATTTTTACGGCTTTCCGTGCTACCTAAGTGCAAGGGAAGACCGCAGACTGCCATATATTGCTGAGCAATATCTAAGCTAGCTACTACCAAAGCCTGAACCTTAATATTGCACTAATACATTCTTGCAATAAGGCCCCTCTTTGGCTCTACGAGCGGAGAAGCCCGAGGAACCTTTCACTGCTCACTGTCACGACTAATACAAAAATCGCCTAACAGGAATAAGCCGTAAACGAATTACCAAGAATTGGTTATCCACCAGATTAGTGAAAAATCCGCTTTGAGCGACTCTACCATGGCCATAACCATCCAAAAAGGCTGTTTTAGTTCATACTCAGTTTATTTCAAAATTTTTTGACTCGTTCCATAAGCACAGTCGAACAAGACGATTAGATTTGTTTTGTTTCCAACGTTTTTAGCTTTTATTAAAGCCATATTACAAAGGATAACTTGAAAACTATCAAAATTGCCACTTATATACCTCCGAAGATTAATAATTTGGCGCCGGCCATAATAACAAGGGCCGGAAAATATCCAGATAAAATGACCAGCTGGTTTTGTCACACGAGATCTCGAGGATTTAACACAGATCGTTTCTTGGAAGGAACTGACGATTCCTGCGAACATCCTAAAGATAAAAACATTCAAATTAAAAAACAGCCAATAGAATGCTCATAATAGCATGTTAGATAACACTTAAACTTAAACGAAATTTGTGATAAACGCATAATCTTTGTTATGAAAGTAAATAATTTCTTCTCTCACTGTTCTATGCCTGAGTGAGGTGACATCGAATCTTAGAATAAGAATTGGTTGGCAAGATCAAAGGTTTGTAATTAGATGTTTTATATCATAGGAAAGCTCCAAACCAGCAAATCATAAAATTAAATGCACGGAGCGATGAAATCTTTCGATGGTATGACTTTGAACGAGTTTCGAGTTTGAAAAGAGGGTAAAAAACGCTTTTACGGAGCAAAGGCTTCAATTCCCTTGTTCTGTAAACTTTCCTTGAGTAAGATAGAACCAATGGCAAGAGTAATTCCTCTTTTGTCCGTGAGGGATGAATAATACCTTAATTCCATTCTTGCCAGGTTTTAAATGCCAAATGTTCTATATGTATCGGATAAAGTATCATCTGCTACTCCAAACATTATCGAGCCAATTAAAAAATCGATGGTGGTTTCGAAGATAGCAAAATGGATCATTCACTTTAAAGGGAACATCCTTGATAAGGAAGTACCGAATTTCAGATAAAGGCGATATAAAACGAGAGGTAATATCAACCTGTTAAATCAACAGCCTGTTTTGATGTAACTTCACCAAAACGGACATGGCAAGGTTCAAGTTGGTTTTACTGGCTCTAATAGCTGTTGTATTTAGTATTACAGACACCGAAACATCGGAGAAAGTTCTCCAACTATTTCCTCGTGGTTGTGGTATCCATGGATGGAAAAAATGCCGCTTTGCAAGGAGAAGATCATATTTACAGGTAACAGACGAATTAATGCTTGTCAAACTACCTACTATCTTTTTGCAACACTTTGTTTAAATCAGTGTTAGAATTTGGACAATTAACCGACCCGCTTGAATCCAGAGATTTTTCGAAGAAATGACAAATCGCTTGCTCAATTATAATTAAACTTTCCTTTCTCACTACTAATTTCTTTAAAGCACAACGTGCGTTAGATAATTACAAATTTTTTTTAACCTCACGACGAATTCCATTTGTTAGGCTCCAACTGTTCGAAAATGTAATTTTTCGCACCCTTGTATATAAAACTACAGTTTCAAGTCTTGCCTTCTTACCTCCCTGTGTGTACTTGAACTGAATTCCATCATGTCATTCTCACAAAAGAGAGCTTGCTACATGTCTTTACATTGGCTAATAATTCGACGATGATTCTCGAAATGTGGTTCTCTGCAGAAATGATGCATCCAAAGAACTCAAAATAGCGCCAATCCAAAAACTTCAACTTTCGAAATATTTTCTTATGACGCGGTAGAAAAAGATCTCTTTAGTACGAGGTCATGTGACACCAAGTTTTGTGTGGGCAAAAGAAGAAGTGTAGGAGCAGAAGAAGAAAAAAAAAACGGAGAAGAGGAAGAAGAGGAAGGACAAAAAAAGGAAATCCGGGAAAACGTTTCAGACAGAATCGTAAAGATCCTTGTCGCTGTGGTGGCTGTCTTCTTGGCTTCTTCATTTAGTTAATTTTTTTATGAATTTGAAAGTAAATTGATCTTAAATGATGAAGATATTTTTATGTTCTCATTTGAATATTTTTATTTCCTTTTAGAAAAAACGCATCAACAGAAGGGATGCCGGTATACATCTGAGAGAATAAACGTGACCAGTAGAATTCTTCAAACCGAAGAGTTAATCATCCTAGATCAGTGTGGAAAGAGTTTTCTGGTTTACTTTGATGTAGTGAAGTGGAATAACTTAACGTAATGAACAGCAATGTAATTTGTAAGAAGAATTAAAACCATATACTCTATTCAATCACGCGATTTTCATTAACTAAGGGGCACGTTTTAGGGCCATAGTTAATAGGTGTCAGAGAATTCTTTCAGTAACCGGGAATAGTCAAAATTCAGATACCAGTTAACAGTTTAATTCTTTATTTCGTTGTTTTTGCTAGTGTTCGTTTTATCTTGTGTTTGTTCGTTTATTTTCTTTACTTCTCACAAACTGAGCCTTGATAACTGGGTCATTCAGTTTGACACAATTTATATACTATAGAAATGCTTTTCTGCATGGTGATGCTGGAAAAGCTAACAAAGACACGGGAAAAAGAAACTCGTCAACATCCGAACCATCGCTCTTTATTAACCGTCGGGAGGCGAAAGCTGTCGTTTGCAAGGCTCCTTGTTCACCAATTATCCCTCTCTCTCTACCCCCTCTCCCTCTCTCTCTCCCCTCTCCCTCTCTCTCTCACCTCTCCATCTCTCTCCCCCCTCTTCCTCTTTCTCCCCCCTCCCTCTCTCCCCTTCTCATCCATCTCCTTTTACTAGAAACCAAACAATTTTTATCTACGCATTATGAAAAAGAACTCAGTGATCTGGTCACACTTGCCATTGTAATATGACGTACAATATTTAACCTCCAATTACGAGAACCATGACCTACGTTCACAAATAGCTGCTGTTCGTCGTCAAAACAAATCATCGAGAGGTTGAAAAAGGAAAGTTGCGAATTTTTTAAATCACAGAAACAATCAAAATGGTGATGTCCGAAGTCGAACTTCTGGCACATAATTTATAGTCTTTTAAGCATCTTCTCCTTTAAGAAAAAGAATGAATGTAAGCGGTCAACCTCTCTTATCATGAATAAATAAACTTACTCAAGAAAGAATGGTGCTTCATTTTCTGATAATGCTCGAGATGCTGCATACACTGCTTGTTCTTTACATAACCAGTCGCAACTCCGCGGATCAAGTGTTACTTTTTTAATCAGAGGCTCGGTATCTTTTTGTGATTGTTATTGCTATTGAAGGGGAGTGTTCACCGAAAACAAAATGCCTTTTTCGACGGAAGGGCATTGGTATTTATTCCATTGTATTCTAACGCAATGACCCAATTTTGTTTAAACTCTCTGTGTGTCGCAGCACCAGTGAGTGCGTAACCAACCAATTTAAATTTTTGACAATCTATGATTTGAATTCAGCCTAAAAATGATTGTGATGCAGTGGCTTCACTTTTTTGCTGTCAACTAAAGAGATCAAATGCTTGCAAGTTTGTTTTCTCGATTCAAGTACGTTTGAATCTCGTTTTGGAGTGCCTTCTCTTCCCTACAATACAAGATTAGGGATGCATTTTTTAATTTTGAAACGCATATTTATTATGTTTTTTAATTCCTGAAATCTATTGAAGAACAGGTACGTACAAGTAACAAGAAATCACTTAGATTGAAAAACAGCAGTGACGTCCAGCTCAGTAGATACATTTGCTTCAAATGAAAAAGGCTCATTTCCTTGCTCTAAAATGCATCTAGTTTTAGAAACAGAAAACTTGAACAAAGATAAAGGAACCATTCACCTTTTTTCGGCTTAAGAGAACGGTTATTGGATGAATGTTTTAGTATTGCGCAATGAAAGTCAGAAGTTGAATTAATTGAAGTTTTTCAAGTCGCGTTGACCTCCCACTTACCACGTTATATCTGTGAATACCCACCTCCTGCCTTGGCGCTGAAAAGAAAATGTTAGCATTGAAAAGCAAATATATCCTGTTTTTATAGACGTTTGATATTCAGTATCATGAAGTTCTGTATCTCGTTTAAAACTAAAACATGCTCCTCCCAAGGAGAAAACATTCTGCTGTTTTGATAACCTAAATGTTATTTATCAAGGATCATTTTGCCTAACAGTTTACTAAATGTGCTCTTCCAAGTTATGCTAAACGTTTAGGAAACAAATAGCTAAGCTGGATGAAATCAAAGGCCAATCTTTTTGAATAGACACTGCTCTAATTGGGACCAAAGCAAAAGCTTATTTGGCAATGTCCGTTTTTTATTGCTCTACTATTAAATGATGCTTCCTTTTTAAACCTACTGACGCACCATTACATCTGCAATTCTTTTGTATCCAAGAAAATCGTAAACAAATCTTCTTCAAATGTCACTTGAATATTCCTTTTTCACCGTATGATACTCATCAGCTGAAAATTTAGTAATACTATAAAATCTAGCTTTTAAGCTGGTACGAATTCCTTTTTTGATAAATCGTGTAACCCAAATTCATCAAAACTAAGAGAATATTTACTTGTGCATTTTCAACACAACTTTCTGACCCTCTGCAATCTGTCTATATCCTCATTAAAGGAAGTATCTGGTCATGTTCAAAGAAGAACAAACTTCAATAAAAAACAGTGATGTGGTGTGTGATTTACAGCAATTATTACTTTTTTTTTTGCAACAGATATAAACTAACCGCTGCATCTGCTTCAACAATCCTTTGAGCAGTCGAATGGGACGTAATTATCCATCCATTCATTCACCTTTCACTGCACACAAAAGCTTTAAAGTGCCTCGGAAGAGGTAGTGGGCTGCAACTAATGACAATTGATGAACTTTAGATCGTTTCGTGTCGTGGCCACTCTTAGAGACACTCGTTTTTCAGAGGAATGTAAGAGATTTCCCAAACAAAACGAAAAATATATCAAACCAAATTCCGCCCATGCCTTTTAAAGAGAAACGCACCTGCAGTTAGAAGAAGTATATAAATGAAAGGAAAAGGACAATATTTTGGATCAACTGACGAACCATTCACTACCTTTCGACTAATCAGTATCTGACCTTTCCTCAAAAAGTTGGTTCTCTTTCAAAAAGTAAACTTTGAAATGTTTTCCACGCAATGTATGCTCTTAGCGCTCTTTTTCGTTCTCTCACCTCCTTCATTAGCTTTTAAAATAGCAGGGAATGAAGATTTCCTAGGAAGTGGAGGTGGTAGTCAAAAACAGCAAACCATTTTGGGTCCATCCACTATAGCTTGCTTTTGTGGCCTAACGTCCTTCAAATGTTGCTACGATCACCCGGTAAGTTCTGGACACTTCCAAAAATCTGATACCGTCCTAAGCGTTTTAAAATAATTCTTTCAAGTCGGGTACTTTTCATTAGCGCGTACATGGCATTCCTCCTGTTTACACCAGTTTCATCTTTTTTTTTGTTTTTGTTTTTGTTTTTTCTTTTTATAACAACACTGCAAGGTTCAGTTTTCCTTCTAATTCACTTCTTTTCGGTCGAATTTATCGTCTTCGAAAATCTATTTGATCTCGATTTCTTTTATTTCTGATGGACAAAAAATCTGAGTTTAAGATATTCAAGCAGGAAACTGTTACATTTAGTGTCTTGAGAAAAAATAACATCTAACACAAGTCGTGTTATAAAAATGTTTCTCTTGTGCAAAGCTAATAGAACAATTAATACTCACATCGACATTTCACTCCCCGTTATATATAGGCTTTCATCGCATTTCTTTTCTTTCAATCCGAATTTTTCTTCATTATTTTATGATTCAACTATTCCTCATTTATTTTATACTAGTGTACGGGTGTTTTGTTTGCTATCTGCTTTCGTTCTTGAATTAAGTCCTCTTAAAGAGGAAATTTAAAATTATTCATAGCTCGGTTTAAAAAAGTAGATCAATATTTTCAATTTCCTTGCCATAGAGCACAAGGAGAACAAGTCAACCAGAATTTTACCCTATTGTTGTGATGAAAGGTTGCAGTCGAATTTAAGATATGATTAGAAATATTCAAACCTCGGAAAGACGTTATTTTCCTTATTTCACGGATTACATATGAACACTTAAATATGAGAATGGTGTCAAACATACGAATAAAACAAAACAACTCGAAGATGGAACACAATGGCCTGAAATGGTCTGTTGTACCTACCATTAGACTATTTGCACGGAATTCTTCCATGAAAATAGCGGTGAATTTCGCATGTAAAACTTTTAAGCAAAAAATAATAAATCTGAGCGTTAGATTACATTACCGCTGGGTTAAAAAAAAAAAAAAAAAGAAATCACTCATGATAATGAAGGTAAATATGGCATGTGTAGGGACTTTCTCAACAATAACGACACCATATGCTACGTTGACAATGAATTTAAAAAAAAAAATCACCCATTTATCCATAACAGGTTGGGAAGAGATTCGAAGCATGGAAACGAAACAACAAGCTGTTATAAGGAGTAAACCAATGGACAAAGGCAGAAAACGGAGACAGAAGGAGGAAATCCATTTGGGACGGGGGCGTTGAAAATGTTTGACCTTCACAATATCTTCTACAGGACGGAATTACAAGAAGCTAGAGCGCGTGGACTCAAAGGCTTGCATTAAGTTGCTATGGTTTTAATTTTTCCGCAATACAAAGAAACCAGAGAGGCTTCATTTTCTGTTTTAGGGGAAACTGCTAGCTTGTTATTTGAGTGAGAGCTGAATCAAAACCACATGTCAATAAACAACAAAATGTGTAGAAAGGAAGTACAATTGAATTTTTTGGTTTAATACCGTATTATCGATGGAACTGAAACTCTGTCACGACTTTGATTCGACAAAGGGCTGTAAGATTCTTGTGGGTGGCTAAGTTTTTAACACTTTCTTTGTCTATTTGATTCTGGAAAGAATACGTTCAAAGCGACCGAGTGATATCGGAAATATGTCGCATATGCTTCCATATGGTCTTCATCAACCACTTCTACATATCCCGTGGTGCAACGCTCAGGTCCTCTTTCAATTTTTTTTCAGCAGAAAAGTGCCAAAAATATCGCATAAGGAAAGAAAAGCGAAACTGTGCTCCTCAGGGATAATGAAATAGCTTTTTTAGAATATGTACATCTTAGTGTGAAACCGTCTAAAACCAGGACAAGTTATTTACACCAAAGGGTGGCATGGCAAAATTGAAAGAGAGGGAAGCTTATGATAAATCCGAGAAGTCGGGAAAACGGGGGGGGGGAGGAAGGGGGGCTACAAGTGAAATATTTCAACTATATCCGCTAC